ATTCTGGACTGCCCTTGGGATCCCAGTGCTGGTTTGAACAATAATCCTGATTTTTAACAGCTTATTATGTGTGGCTCCACTTTGGGCCAAGGGGATTTAGTTGTGTTTAAGACTTTGAATTCCATCATGAACTTTGGGCTTGCCTCATATCAGTTTAAGATTAATTATGGTAATTCTCAAAGCAACTGAGTATGTGTCAGAATTTCTATCTGGATCAGCACTCCTCCTCTGATCCAGAACCCACGTCTGGGGAGGCTGGGTAAGTAAGTGGAATTAGGAGAAAGGCATGCATTTTAGACATCTCCCCTGAGTGTGCTTGGTTCTGACACCAGGACTTGCCTGCCTGCTGTTGACGGTACCTTCTTGTACATTCGCTGTACATTTCCTGGCTCACTCATACAGTTTTTTAGTCTGGGTGCATCAAATTTAGTAATATGTCTCCAGAATAACCATATACTTTGAGGTATATTTCATTTTCCAATACTGAAAATGAAAGAGCCATTAGGCTATGAATCGGTAAACAATCAGTCATTCCCTGTGTAAAGTAAAATGAATTAGCATAATTTATTAGCAAATTCAATTTTCTTTAAAGTGTTCTTTGTATTTCTAGGCTGTATCATAATGGTTAGTAATGCCTCATTTAAAACAATAACCTAGGAAGTCTTCCATTTTGGATTCTTAATGGTGGGACTGATTGAAAGAGGAAGAAAACATACTGAATGTCCTTTCACAAACTTCAGGAAATAGGGTTACTGGATCTTCATGTGGAGTGTTGCTTTTTTTTAAAATCAGATGTGATCTCTACACCATGTGCCCATTTCTTCTCTTGGGGCAATAATTCTCTAACAAAATAGACTGAGTCAGGTAGTAAAATTGCATAGTAGTAGTAGTAGTAGTAACAATAGTACTCCTAATAATAGCTAACTCTTTTTGGGTATCTGCCAAGCTTTCTTCAAAGTACATTACATATATTAGCTCACTTAAAACTCTTTATCCTGTAAGTCAAATGTTCTTATTATCTCCATTTTGTAATCCTTTTAAGGCAGGCATTTTTATTATCCTTATTTTATAGGTAAAGAAACTGAGATACAGACAGGTTAAAGAAGTTACCCAGGGTCACACAGCCATGGAGTAATATAGCTGGTATGATCTGTGTAGCCTGTGTGCAGAGCTGCTGCTGTAACCACAATCACAGAACTGCCTTCTAGTCATTTTTTATTGTTAATATTTTATAAACTTATGTCTCATTAAAGCACTGTTAAAAACTTTGATTTCCCCCCCTTTTTTTTTACAACACATCACTGATTAGTAACAACATTCTTAGATTACAATAATGATCCTCATAATGTGTTGTGCAGTTTATGTGTATGTTCATGTCTCTTGTGGCTAGCATTTATGGATAGGCCAGTGTTCAAAATTCCTTATATGTATTAAAACCTTTAATCTTACTATTATTTAGGTAATATTAGATAACAGTGTCTTCTTCATAGGTGTTTTTGAGAATTAAATATGTTATCTGTGCAAAGTGCTGTGGAATGTGTGGCTCATAATAAGTGCCCTGGAATGCTGATCATTATGATCCAAATGTTACAGCTGGTGAGGCTGAGACTTTAGTGAGGTTGAATACCTGCTCGCAGGCCCTTACCCGCTTAGAGAAAGAGCAAAGCTTTGAACTCGGACACTTGCCCTTTAGAGCCCACACTCAGCCACCACACAAACAAGAAATATCAGGACCTTGTCTTTGTTTATTTTGGTAAACCAAAGCTTTTGTTTAGCTTACAAGAAGCAGCATGGTATCAAGATTAAGAGAACAGGGTCTGGAGTCAGCCTTCCTAGATTGGAATAACATCACCCTCCTCCCTTGATAGCTGGGAAATTTACCTCAACTCTCTGTGCCTTGTTTTTCTCATCTGTATAATGGGAATAATTACAGCTTGTATCTCACAGGGTAGCTATGATGATTAAATGAGAAAAACCTGCAAAACTTAGTACAGTGTCTGGCATATGATAGCATTCAAATAAGATTAGCTAACATGATTACTAGAATTGTATTTGCATTTCTTAAATGTATTTTGAATTTTAAAGTCACCGCTTAAATCCTTGGAGCCACCAAATGTGGTGGCTCATGCCTGTAATCCCAGCACTTTGGGAGGCCAAGGCTGGTGGATCACTTGAGGTTAGGAGTTCGAGAACAGCCTGGACAACACAGTGAAACCCCGTCTCTACTAAAAATACAAAAATTAACTGGGCATGGTGGGGGATGCCTGTAATCCCAGTTACTAGGGAGGCTGAGGCAGGAGAATCACTTGAACCCGGGAGGTGGAGGTTGCAGTGAGCCGACATCGTGCTACTGCACTCCAGCCTGGGCAATGAGCAAGACTCTATCTAAAAAAAAGAAAAAATCCTTGGAGCCAAATTCAACGATACTCTTATATGCCAGACTCCCCCTGAGAGTCTGTATGTGTGAAGCCTCTTACTTGGAAAGACTGCGGGGGCTGTCATAGTAGGGTTTTGGCGGGGGCAGTCACCATGAGGCTGCTTTCACAGCTGGAGTCACTGAAAGGGGCACTAAATGAAGATACCCTAATGATCTGCATGGCCACATTTGTTTTGGGCACTCAGAAACTGTGTTTAGACTGTTTATTCTCTGATTATGTGTGGAGTTAGACTTCACTTAGCTCCATCATGACTTTATTTTCCCCAGCTGGGATAGATGGAGGAGAGAGAGAAAGAGCATAGGCAGTGGCTTCTTGATATTATGTTTTCCTCATTAGGATTCTTTTATTCTGGAAAGATGAGCTCAATGGTGTAGTCTTCTTGCAACAACTGACACACACATTTGCTTTTCCTTCCCAGTCTTATCCTACACCCAATTTTTTTTTTTTTTTTTTTTTTTTTTTTTTTTTTTTTTTGAGCTGGAGTCTTGCTCTGTCACCCAGGCTAGAGTGCAATGGCGCGATCTCAGTTCACCGAAACCTCCGCCTCCTGGGTTCAAGCAATTCTCCTGCCCCAGCTTCCCAAGTAGCTGGGATTACAGGCGCCTGCCGCCATGCCTGGCTAATTTTGTATTTTTAGTAGACACGGGGTTTCTCCATGTTGGTCAGGCTGGTCTCCATGTTGGTCTGGTTGATCCGCCTGCCTTGGCCTCCCAAAGTGCTGTGATTACAGGCGTGAGCCACCGAGCCCGGCCTGCACCCAATATTTCTAACTATATAGTGGTGCATGCTATGGGTTACAGTTTGGATTTTATTTTCAAGTTATTTCTGTCATGTTTTGAATGTTATATCTGTGCTAATTCATATGTCTATGGTTTTTAGTCTCCACTCTCTGAAAGCCTACCATTTAATTCAGGGAATTACCCTGAGGTCGGGGTAAAAGATAAGCCAAAAATCATAAACAACCCCAAGGCTGTTTTTTTTTTTTTTTTTTTTTTTTTTAACTACTTCATTTTCTAATTTACTTTGAAGAATGTTTCTTCATTTTTCTTGCTTTCCCTAAATTTTGTTGAGTTCTGCATTTGAGAAGAGGACACATTCCTGTGTGTCTATAGCCAACTTCCCCAGTCTGTTCTATATAAGGCAAGTCAAAAGATGTTAATATGCTCTGCTAAATACATGTACTGCTTTATGTTAGTTTGGGAACCACTAGCACATACAATATAAGCAGGCTTCTTTTCTGCTGTACTTTGAGAATCCTTTACTAATCCAGTGTAGGTGTCTGTCTCCAAGAGGAGACAATCATATGCTGACATCTTTATTTCTTGCAGCATCTCACAAAGTCAGTGTCAGAGGACCATGCTTTGGGAAATGTTAGTTTATGCGGCAGTCATTGCTATAGATGGAAATAGGGAAAGGTGCGCCAGCTTAATGGTAGTTGTGCTGTTATTTTTTTTAAAGATTAAATGAGGCCATACCACAGTTTATTAAAAACAAACACAAAATTATTGAAATCAGAATTTAGTAAAGTGTTTTTTTCGTATATTGAAAATAAAGAGGAAAATGATAAAGGCCAGGCACCATGGCTCAAGCCTGTAATCTCAGCACTTTGGGAGGCCAGTGTGAGCAAATCACCTGAGGTCAGGAGTTTGAGACCAGCCTGGCTAACATGGTGAAACCCCATCTCTACTAAAAATACAAAAAATAGCCAGGCGTGGTAGCGGGTGCCTTTAATCCCAGCTACTTGGGGGGCTGAGGTGAGAGAATCGCTTGAACTTGGGAGGCAGAGGTTGCAGTAAGCCAGGATCACGCCATTGCACTCCAGCCTGAGCAACAAAACCAAAACTCTATCTCAAAAGAAAAATAAAAAAGAAAGAAAAAAAGAAAATGATAAAAATTTAAAAATAATATTTACAAACACACTGCTAATTCTATATGGAATGCTGAATCTACCACAAATTTAATCTAATAACACACAGATTCCATCTATAGTCGGATTGATGAAAGAAAACTACAAGCTCCTCAGTATTCAACGATTTTTTTTTTCTTTAAACAAATGTCACAATACAATAAATATAGATTAACAGGCAACTTTTTTTTTTTTTTAAACACAGATTTAAAAAATGTTTTCTGGACATTCCCACCTACTCAGAAAACCATTTTTCCAGAATCTCTTGGTCCCAGTAAATAAAATTATTTATTGTGGTGGTATGTTAACTCATGCCCTTTAATTCTCAAGTGAGAAAAAAATTTATTTTTTGCTATCAAGATAGGAACCTAGAAGGATCCTGAGCAGAAAGTCAGAAGGCCTTAGTGACCTTGTTAAATACAGATCCCAGTGGGCACCATGCCTCTTACAGAATGGGTACCCAACACATTGCTGTAGAATGGACTTTTTCTGCCTGAGCTCATCTGCTGTTCAGTGGAGAAGTTGGGCAGAATACATGACCTCCTAGGTTCTTTCAGGCATGGAAAGGTGGATTCCATGGTATATTGTGGTTATTCAATTGGTTAGCGAACATGCAAGGATCATTCAGGAGCAAATAAAATTTTCATCTTTCTATGTAAGTCCAGGGATAAGCTTTAATTTTAAGAAATGGGGCTTCCCACCTTCTTCAGCTTCATACTCCTTGTTGTGTGTGCCATGCGTTCTTATGTGCCCCCTTCACTGCATGGAAAGTAAAGCAAGTGATCAAGAAGAGTTTGCTCTCCATTTTGAATGACACCCATACCATTTAATATGTTTAATAATATTAGGGTTTAATTAATGCACTTACCTCTTGGAAGCATCACCTGTTTCTTTTCCCTCAGTGGTCTCTATATTTTTTATTTCAGGATCACACCTAATGTGAAAAACAGTATAAATATATGACTGGAAAATGTGGTTAATAATTATTGAATGACTATTATGTGCCAGATGCTGCACAATATATTTACATGTGTTTTCTTCCATATTCTTTTAAGAAACCAGGGAACTAGGTATGTTAAAGTAGTGGGGGTTTTTTCTTTTTTCTTTTTTTGTCTTTTTGAGATGGGGTCTTACTCTGCGGCCCAGGCCGGAGTTTAGTGGCACGATCTTGGCTCACTGTAACCTCTATCTCCTGGGCTCCAGCCATTCTCGTGCCTGAGCCTCCCAAGTAGCTGGGATTACGGTTGTGAACCACGCCCAACTAATTTTTGTGTTTTTAGTAGAGAAGGGGTTTTGCCATGTTGGCCAGGCTGACCTCAAGCGATCCACCCACCTCAGCCTCCCAAAGTGCTGGGATTACAGGCATGAGCCACGACACCAGACATTAAATTAGTTTTATACATGAGAAAATCAAAGCGAAATAAAGCTAAAGTGATTTGCCCAGGATCCATATGCTAGTAAATGATACAATAGGAATGCAAACCTAGTTATCCTCAGAGACAAAGAAAACTATTTTGGGGAGTAAGTAGTCCACTTGAAGTGTATGGTGGATTGTGGACCGTAGAATGAGTGAAACAGGGAAAGACTCTGAAGGTGGCCATAAGGACTGTTGTCCCTCGCTCAGGGAGAAGTCCTGCTGGGGAACAGTCTTCAATAGAACTGGGTTTCAGTTCCCTTCCCACCTTGCCCTCCAAGGGGAGCGGAAGCCTCGAGTAGCATTTCAGTCTGAATGGTGGGGTCCTAGAGACAACATATTTAACAGCATCTTTCTATTTGATTAACATTGGTTGTCCTGAAAAAGTCTGTATTTTCCCATTTGCATGTAAAAGAAACCAGATATCCAAAAAAAATGTTCCATTTCAAATTTGAAAAAGCTGTTTTTAGTGGATTAAAGGTCAGGCATAATTACGACTTTTTTCATACTATGCCACAAGGCAATAAACCTACACTTTATTTATTAATCTTTTTCTTCTTGTTTAATATTTGGAAAAAAAATCCAAAGACTTTTGCCGCTATTTCCCACTATTTTGGAGAAATGAATCCTAAAGACTGGAATTATGTCTTTGAAAAATGGACGAACACTATTTTAATGTCTAGCTGAAAACCTTTGTCATAAGGGGGCTTAATGAATACTTTTAGATGATCAAGGTTAGATGAAAGCTTTGAGAGGTCATCCAGTCCTAGGCTTTGAATAATATCTCCTCCAAAGTTTCTGTCAAGCTTGAAGCTTTATACTTTCATGCTATCTGAAGTGTACCCATGAAATGTCTCCTTTTGACATATTTTTGAAGAAGAACTTTGACTCACAGTACAAGAGCTCAGATGTCCAGTAAAATTCTGATTCAACTGGTTAGATTTATGTGTGTGTGTGTGTGTGTGTGTTTTCTTACTCGTTGACCTGCTCTTCTAGGAGAAAAGAAATTTAGCTACTTGAAAAAAAAGGCACTTGACTTTTATGAATGCCATTATAGAAATAACTTACTGAATTAAAAAGGGAAATTCTAAAATCTGAGAAGACTTAGAATGTCTTCGAAATTCTATAACTTTTAGATTTTGTCTATAAATTGATTCTAAATACTGAAAACCAATAACTACATACTTTTTTTTTTCCAATGGAGAACTGTGAGTATAATTTTTTCTCAAAGCTTTCAGTGACATAACTCTTGTGCTACTCATAAAAAGCTGAAGACATTGTTTTTTCTTACATTGTACTGATTGTTCAACATCATGTCTTCCTTCAGTTTTTTCATATTAATGTCATCAACTCTGAAGTACTATTTTTCTTCTTGTTTTAATTGCCTTCTACATAATTGAGAGAAAAAAGTATTTTTACTTCACTATAATCCTGTTGCTTAGTCATTCTGTATATCCATTTCATTCTTTCTCTAGAAGACATTCTTGGAGCCTTTTTGAATTTTGAGTGATTGTTTTCTAGGCCTGTTACATGGCTAATGTTCTGAGAATTATTTTCAAAGAATTCTTAAGTTGGGTTTGACATTCTTTATTACTGCTATCTTTCTTTTTTGATCCTGAGTATTACTTGATATCTCTACATGGATGTCCCATAAACATCTCAAATTTTTCTGCTAGTCTTGCTGTACCCACTGTCTTCTTCATCTTTATTTATGGCAATTCCATCTTTCCCATTGCTCAGGACACAAATCTTGAAACTACAGTCGACTCTCTCACAGTCCGCATCTCACTCAACAGGAACTGCTATAGCTTTACTGCCAAAATAAATCCGAACCTAACCAGACTTCTACTGAAGCCATGAGCAGCATCAAAGTGGTACTCATACTACTGTCCTAGAGTTGCACATGACCAAGTAACTTTGTTATCATGACAAAACTGGGACTCTAGAGGAGATATTCATGCTAGTAGCATGTCTTCATATATTCTGTGTTGAATATGAAATTTTCCCTCTTCAAAGATCCTTGATGACATTTGGTAGCTATTTTCAAATAATTTAGGGACTGTCAGAAGTAATTTTTGGACTTGACATGATTTGTTATTTATTTGTATAGAAACTTAGTTCATAAAGCACTATACATGATTGTCTCATTTGACTTTTATAATGTTTGTAGGTATCTATTTTATCACTGTTTTGCAGGTGAAGAAACTGAGGCTCAGATACTACATAATTTGAGCTGATCTTGTTAATGGTGATGTCTTCAGAATTTAAATCTGATTTTTCTGTTTCTAAATTTTATTTTCTTTCTGTCATTTCTGCCCTCTAGGAGACATAATTAGGAAACAATTATACGTCTGAACTTATAGAGGATCCTGTTGAACAAAGATGGACGTTCCTTTATTAGAGTGATCCGATGTTAAGACATGGTGAAAACCCACCATCTTTGAGGCACATTCTAACATTCAACACCCCCTACCTGTACCTCCTATTACACTCTGGCCAGGAATACTATGGGAGTTCCCCTTTGGCTAGCTGATATAATACATATTTTCTTTCAGAGATGAGATTCTGTTATTTACAAAGGCCCATGGGCATGTCTGCTTCTGTAAGAACCCATTACATCAGAAATATAACCAGGCTTCTTGCAATCCCATTTTAATAGAACTATTTTTAATTACATAATTGGAACATCTACATTACTAGTCATGAGTACTTCTGCCATGTTTGTTAATTCTTTAATATTTGTATTATTGTCTTCCATCCTATAGTAGGCCAGGATATTTAAAATGAAAGCTAAAGAAATTTTCTGATAAATAATTGGAAAATATGTTGTTTATTTTACATTGCCAAATGGTATACATCTATTGATTTTGTTTGTTTTTTTCCTTCATCTAGAATACTCACAATTTTTATATTAAAATCTAAATGAAGCAAATAATTTCTGCCCATTTTATGATTGACTGTTTTTGTTTGACAGTTTTTATATATTAATAATGCATGACCTTTCCATCAGCTTTACAATTTTTGTTTGGGATTTTTTAATATGTGGGAGAATGTATTTTCATTATATAGCTTTTAAAATCTGATACAGGAATAAAATTCACTTTAGTTTTATGAATATACATAAAATAATTCCTATCTTTTATCTCAAAGTTTTTTCAACCCAGCAAAGCCATTTAAAACTTTTTTCCCCTCAGATTCATTTGTGATGTCATTTGTTATATCAGCCCCATGTTAAAAGAGGGCTGACCGTTTCCATTAGTAGGCTTATCATACTTTGTATAATGTTTCCTTGCCATATTACTTTCAATTCAGTTTTCAAAGTTATCTACAAAGAGTTTTCATTTTGACTCTGACTTCGCATAGCAACAGGATAACTTAGTGGCTTTCCTCTATATTTTACCTTTACAATGAGTGAAAATAGCTGATAGTTAGAAATTGTTTGATACTGCCAGGAAGAAAACATATCCAGTATCCAATTTCCTTACTCACACTTACATTCTCAAGAATGTGGCAGTGAAGAAATATTCTCCTTTTAGAATTAAGCTGGTCTGTATTCAAGCCATGATGTGCATGATGTCAGGGATGTACCTTACCTGACAATTGTGATCATGCCCACATGCACTCCATGCTCAGTGACATCACCTTGGTATGTAGAAATACCCCCTTGTTGTGGGTATTTACACCTTGGAGCCAACAAATACTAAGGACCAGGACTCTCCTATCACCTCAAAGAGCCATTTGTTAAACATTTACCAGCACAACACTTGTTCAAGCACATTGAATTTATGTGACTTTGCTCAAGATATTTAACCTCAAGATGTTTAGCCTTATTTTATATCTCTATAAAATAGAGAGAAGCTAGTACTCTACCTACATCACTCATTTTTCAATTTGGATAACTTGCTTTTTTTTTTTGAGAAAAAGTCTCACTCTGTTGCCTAGGCTGGAATACAACAGTGATCTCTGCTCACTGCAATCTCAGCCTCCTGGGTTCAAGCAATTCTCCTTGCCTCAGCCTCCTGAGTAGCTGGAATTACAGGCGCCCGCCACCGTCCCCAGCTAATGTTCATATTTTTAGTAGAGACAGGGTTTCACTATGTTAGCCAGGCTGGTCTCGAGCTCCTGACCTCAGGTGATCCGTCCACCTTGTCCTCCCAAAGTGCTGGGATTACAAGGGTGAGCCACCGTGTCTGGCCGATAACTCTTAATATAGTATGGTATTTAGGATTTGGTGAATGACTATAATAATAATGAGACTGATAAAAATTATCATTTCAAACACAAATAGATTGTTAATGTTTTTTAATTTATAGGACTGCTTTTCCTCACTGTTAGCTAAATAGCAAGAGGAACAAGTTTGCAAAACACTAGGGGAAACTTCATCTATCTTTAGGTGGAAATAGTCTTGGTGAGTTTTAACTTATTTTGGTTTAATTCAGCATCCATTTTTCATATTTATCATAAGGCAAACCACCATGATAAATGGAGGAGTATGTTTTGCATGTAGCCTGTCTTGTTTTGTTTCTTCTCAAACAGTAAAACAGTTCTAGAAGTAAGCATCAATGATTTTTTAGCCTGTATTTTTATTCCTTCTATCATCAAAGGCTTATTTACTTGTATACAGAATATAAATATTTATATATACATATATGTATTATAAGTATTGTATTTATTATTGTGGCAGGTTGAGGAATAAATGGGAAGTGAGAAATTGAAGATACACAAGGAAGTCAGCAATTCTAGCCCAACGAACACGGCAGCAAGAACACTGTTTCCCTGAACACTGGGGAGCTTTTTTATGTGTGTTATTTTGATTTCTCCTGTCTTTCTCCTTGTAATGATCAGTGATGGAAATGAGCCAGTGTGGATATTCTTAGAGCTGAGATGCTGAGCTGCTTTTCATTCCCTGGCTTGAGGCTTGAACGCACAAAGTCTCCGGGGAAGAGTGGGTGGGAGTAGCTACCTAAGGAGAAGGAATAGGTTAAATCTCTGGGGCCTTTGGCTATAAAGCAAAGGAGAACAGAGTAGACTGGTGTCAGTCGGCATATCAGCCCTGGTGCTGATCAGAAGGGGCTCTGGTGAGGTTTTCTGACATATGGAGCAGTTGGAGAAATCCGGTGATAAAGGAAGAAGGGTGTTTCAATAACTTGAGGAGAAGGTAACAGGCAAGAGAAAATCAAGGATGCAGGATGTGAAATCAAATGATGGAACTTTCTGGCTTAATGTAGACCATCTGGCTATCTTATCTTTAAACCAGTGATTTCTCAGACATTTTTCATCTTATATCTACAATGACCATATGTCCCGGAGTTTTTAGGATAGGCCAGATTTCAAATATTTCTGCCATTGTTAGGCTCTTGGTCCCAAATTGAGATTGGAAAATATGATCATTAGTCTTACATCCCCTCCCCCAACTTCTGTTACCTTTATCACAGGCATTTGAGGAAACCCTGTGGAAGCCTCCAACTAGTTAACAGCATCATTAGGCAGCTGTCCACAGCAGTAGGTCGCAAACCTGACCATGTATCAGAATCATCTGGTGACATTAGTTAAAATACTGCTTTCTGTAGCACCTGCCTCATCCCTGTAGCCCCAGAAATTTGGATTCATTTGGATGTGAGAAATCTTCAGATTATTTGTATTTTTAGCAGGTGTCCCATGTGCTCATGAGACATCTGTCCTTTGTGGTAGGTTTTTGGAAGTCAATGTGCCAATCAATGCCTTTCACATCTTTATCTGAGCATTCAAAGCTTCTTACAACGGGGCTTCTCATACTTGGGCTTTGACTTACGGTGATCTTTGAACTTCTGAAACTTGATGATAAATTTGTGAGTATGGGTTCATAAGCAGTTCCTGGGAGAGGACCTCAGTTTTCATCAAGCTCTCACTGGTGGTAATGCCCCAAACAGTTACAAACCCGAGGCTGCACGGTCAGCAATACGAAGATCATCCAAAATGTGGAAGGTACTTTTTTCATTGAGCTCAGACTTAACTGTCCTCATGTTTGTTGTTGTGGTTGTTTTGTTTTTTATTCATCTTCTGAGAACAATTTCTGGCTAAAATTCACACACACATATGTACACCGCTTTACCCACCCACTAGTGACTTATTCTGAAAATGATGACTTCTTTCAGACCAGTATTTTCAATTTTATCAGCCAGTAACATTTAATAGGATGTGTGTGTGTTTGTGTGTGTGTGTGTGCATGTGTGTGTGTCTTTGAAGGGTTGCTGACTGTCAGGGTGGGAAGATCTAATTAGGCCTCCCTATTTTCTCAACCATCCTCTCTTCCCTCTCTCCCTGGCTTTCCCCATGCATCCCCCAAAACAGGTTCTGGGTCTGTGATCCCATGAAACCTCATCTGGTTTAAACCTTAGGGTAATATTCTGCAGCTGTGTTGCCTCAGCTGTAGGGAGACTTTTTCCTTGACAAGCATTGTGGTTTAGGGAGCCAAACAATTGATTGGAAACTTCAGGGCTATGAGTTCTAACTCTTGGTCTGCTCTGACACAGTGTGTGACCTTGGGCGATTCATTTGATCTCTGTCCAAACTCTCTGATGCTTGATAACAGGATTTTCTAGAAATCTCCCTGCCAATAAAGACACATGGAAACACTCCTTGGTTCCACAAGGGAAGGCTACACTTCATTATCTCTCAGGCTTTTAACTCTCTTTCTCCATTTGCCCATCTCTCCGTGCCAGGGACTCCATAGTTTTTCTAAGTCTTAGAAACACGTTCCTACTTTTCCTTCCCAAAATACATCAGCAATGCTACTCTATTTCAGTCGTCCCCAGGATTTTAGACTTTGTCCGTAAATATTTATCCCACAATACTAAATTACCCAGACTGCTTTGGAACAGTGAATTGTGCAGAACCGGACTCTGCCCTAAATTTCACATGGCTACTGTAAATAGGAGAGCTAAATTTCTCTCTCATTTTTCTGCATTCTGCAAGTACAATTTATTGTTTTATGAGCTTCCACAAATCATTTTATACTCCCTCTTCTTTTTAACATCTCCTTTTATAGAAAATTATTAAGTTAATAAATTTTAGTAAAAGCAATACAATTCCAAGAATTTTTTTGTAGAAAATATGTACTATTTTTGCTTTTGGACTTTGTTAGAAGATTATTTACTCAGATAATAATGTTAAACTTGCCTTTTAAGTTTTAGGAATGATCACACACGTGCACGCACATGTGCTCATACGCACACACACATCTCAGTGTGTAATCAAGAATTTTTTGGGATGGCATAGGAGAAAATTATATTTTATAAGGGGCTTTTATCATGACTGGTTCCTCATTTTAGAACAAGGCTGAAGAAATAGAGTTGTAAATATTTCTTTCTTACTAATATTTTCTTCTGCTTTCTGTCTCAAGGTTCTGTGTCTCTCTGGGATACTGGATTTTGATATTTTAATCACTTTATTTCTGTTAATGTTAGTTAAGCGTTCTTGGGCCAAAATACCAAGAAGGGTCAGTATGTGTTTCATAATAAATCAATCAAATGGACATGCATTAAACAGGTCATGGACTAATTTCTGTTACATGTCATATGTCAGTCAGTCTCTGGCTTGGAGTGATTTACTGGTTACTCTTTCTGGAAGGAGAACGTTCCTTCCCTGGCACTTCCCTCCATCTCCTCCCATTCCACATGGGGCTGGCACAGAGCACCCACCTCAGGCCTCTTCCCCCAGTATCTTCCTCTTGCTCTAGGTTATCCTCTCCTCTCTCGCCACCAGGACCTTTTTTAGGTAATTGCCAAACTGGAAATGGTTTGATAAACTTATATCTGTATGTTATTATTTCTGTGCAAAGGAAGAGGAATATTAAAGTAACAGTAATAGTTAACACTTATTTTTAACTCTGTGCTAGTCCTTTTTACAGTGCTTAGCATGTAATTTTACATTTAATCATCACAATAACCATGTGAAGATGTGCATGCTTATATACCTACTATATGTTAATAGATGAATAATAAAAAAGCATTAAGGCAGTTTTCCTAGAATCACAGGATGAGTGAAGGCAATCTGATTTGAGACCTTGTGTGCTTAATTAACTAATGTGCTGATAAGCTGCCTTTTTGAGAAATAGCCAAATGCACCTCTATATGTGGTGGTTTTAAACTGCGATGGTTAGACTCCTATCACAAGTAGAACTGCTCTTTGGGTAAGAGGAAAGTTGGGAGTGAGGAAATCAAGTAGATAGGGCCCTGACTTCCCTCCTCTGTCTCTGTAAAACGTTTCTGTGCAAACACACACAGACACACACACACACACACACAAACACCACAAACACGCTAAGCTGAGCAGACCTTCTTTTATCTGTTTTCACACTGGACTTCCAAGTAATGTTTCATTTGAAGAGTTTCTCCATAAAAAACAAACACACTTTGAAAATGACTGCCTGCCACAACCCCACTTATCATAGTGCATTCTTATCTTTCCCTCCATTGGAAATGCTAATGTAACTCAGATGTTAGCTGAGGTCATCCTTGTCTCTGAGGTCACCCTGGCCTTTGAGATTGAAATAAAATTGCCTCAATCCCCCATTTCATATCTCCTAAAAGGTTCCAATG